CACACTTACCAAAGCAGGAGCCACAGAAAATATATATTGGTGAAAGAGTTATATACCAGAACTCACTAGTGAGAACTCCCAATGAGAAATCATAATTTTCATAGCTTTATCAGTGAAAACAATAGACCTGAGGAGCAGGAAGACACATAAGCAGAAACAGAGACAAAGCCATAATGCAAAATAGAGACAGAGGAGATAAAAACAAAGCACCCTGAATACAACTATCTCTAGCTCAAAACCTAGGACAACTAACTATAGTGCACAGGGGAAGAAATATCACAGGACACTGACATCTGAAGATGAACACTGTGGGCCATTGAGAAGCATCTGTTTTGACTTTCAAAATGAAATGTTATCAGTAGATTACACAGTAATGCAAATTCACATATATGTACCTATATAAAGAGCAAATGATTATTCATCACCTAGGATACCATATACAATAAACTCTTATTCCTTCTTATCACCATTTCCTCACTACTGATATAAATGGCTCTTGTCTATGATAGCAGCCAGACCTGGGGCATACCCAACATTGTTGGGATGGGGCTTCTCCTCCTTCTGTAGCGGGCTCCCCATGCTGCCCCAAAGGAGGCAGCAGAGCTCTGCATCCATCCCTTACTTAATGTGGAGATCCCTAGTAATTCCAGAACAGGGTAAAAAGAGCAGGAAGATGTCTACTCACTGAAGCAGAAGTGTTCATTTATAATAAAAACAATCTACCTAATTCACATTGAGTCTAATATTTAGAAATAAGACAATGCAAATAAAGCAACCTATTTTATCTTATCATAAGGATTTACATTAATATTAAAATGACATTAATATTAATATGACATTAATGATATTAATATTAAAAATGACTTCATTTTAAATCCTATTCAAATTTTCAATGTTGAAGGCATCAATTAACTATTGTTTCATAACAAACACAGTTACTTCAAGCACCATCATTTTAGGACTTGTGGCTCTCTGGTTTGGTTGCAGTTTCTTGAGCTAATTTTGCCTGAACCATTCATGAATCTTTAATCAATTGATGAGTTGGCTGAACCTACAGTCTAAAATAGCTTTATCCACATATCTGGGTCTTGGAAGGGTGCATAAACAGTAGAGACCTAAGAACCATTTATTCTCCATTGTGTCAGAATGAGCTTCCACAGACAACAGCAGTCTTAAGAGACAAGCCCAACATGTAAGCTCTTTTCTAGCCTCTCTTACATTAATTCAATAAAGACCTATTTGCCAAAGCAAATAATATGGCCAAGCTTGAAGTTATTGGGACAAGGAATCACACAAGAGTGTGAGTATTTACTGGGAGGTGTGGTTCACTGGGGATCATCAGTGTAGCAGTCTAATGCAATCCCCTCATATGTGCCAGATACACCTAAGAGTATCAAGATCATATTGGAAAATGGAATAAACAATGCACAAATAACACTAGGGGGGTTGTCTTTCCAGTTCATCATGTGAGGAACTTAGAAATCACCATCTGGCCAGGCTTAGTGCTGAATACCTGTAATCCCAGCTGCTCAGGAGGCTGATACAGGAGGATCATGAGGTCAAAGCCAGCCTCAGCAATGGTGAAGGGCTAAGCACAACTCCAGCCTTATTTTTGTGTTTTATTTAGAATCAGACCCTGACTCTAAATAAAACACAAAAATAAGGCTGGGGATGTGGCTCAGTGGTTGAGTGCCCCAGTACCAACTCTACCCTCATAACATAAAAAAGTAAACAAACTGAAAAATCAACAAGTCAGATTTTTCAAAGAAACTGAATCTGAGGACCAACTCTTATCCCAAACTGGTTAAACAGAGAGGCACATACAGAGATTCATAAGTTCTTGATGTGGAAACCCATGAGCAGAAGCTTCTTTGGAAAGCATTACTAGACTAGGAATACCTGAACAATATTGAGCTCAGTGTGGATAAGGCTGATTCAGTTACTCAGGGCTCTTCATACTTTGGTGAGTTTTACCTCCAGAATCTCAGCCAGATTCTCACAGGGCAACCAAAGCATTCTGTTCTTCTTGAGAAGTTTCAACCTTAGGAAAAATTATTTTACAAGAGAATAGCCTACTGAAATTTCATCAGACCCTAAATGACCCAAGATAAGAGAATACCACACTCAAGCCTGCTTTAGCCCTCTATCTGGAAGAAGGAACACACTCAACACCAGCTCCCACTGCTCTTCCATATGAGAGAGGAAAACATTCAACTACAACTGCCTGCAGACATCTTGTCCCCGAGAGCGAGGAAAATGAGGAAACTGATGCAGCTCCTTTCAAGAGCCCAGACTCACTAAAAGATTGAGATCTAATAATTGGGCTAATAACCTCTTCCCTCAAGAAGAATGGAAAATGCACAACAAAACTAAACACCACAAAAAAACACATACTCAAATTGCAGAAAATCAAAGGGTGAGGAAGTCATTTTCTAAAGCTCAGAAAAAAATGGTCATTATCAGTTTAGATCTGGGAATGTCCCCCACAAAAGCACATGTGTTTGGTAATGTAAACATATTCAGAGGTGAAAAGGTTGGATTATGAGATCTGCAATCTTTTAGGTAGACTGTTCCTTTAGATGAATTAATTTGAATGGACCACTGAGAGCTAACTGCAGACAGGTGGGAGTGGCTGAAGAAACTAGGTCACAGGAGGTGTGCCTTTTGAGGGCATAATGTAACATTAAGAAACTGTGTCAGGCCCAGGTGTCCCTCCCCTCCTCTCTCCCCTTCC